TTCCTGGGGGGGCCGACTGTACCTGTGAGGCCGACTGTACCTGTGAGTCTGACTGTACCTGTAGGTCTGACTGTTACTGTGTGTCTGACTGTACCTGTGAGTCTGACTGTACTTGACTCCGACTGTACCTGAGTCTGACTGGGTCTGACTGTACCTGTGAGGCCGACTGTACCTGTGAGTCTGACTGTACCTGTGAGTCTGACTGTATCTGTGAGTCCGACTGTACCTGAGTCTGACTGTACCTGAGTCTGACTGTACCTGTAAGACTGACTGTACCCGTGAGTCCGACTGTATCTGTAAGTCTGACTGTACCCGCGACGGCGACAAACCCGGGGGCTCGAATCTTTTTTAATCTCCAGCAGAACCAGAACTCCAGAATCGAACCCCCGACCCAGATGAACGGGCAGGCGAGTGAGGTGGTGTTTTTTTTTTTTTTTTTAAAAAAAAAAAAAAAAAAAACCACTGACAAGAACAAACGGTATCGGTGTGGTTTGGGAACGGCGTTCCACATCAGCTCACAGCTCATCAATCAGGACTGCGACCCCACCCCCCCCCCCACCTCAGGGATTTTACACGCCGCTGTGCCTCTCCCGGCCGGTGACGTGGTTCTGCTGCTGAAACAGTTCCAGGCGGGTGAGGGCGACACCAGGAACCTGTCGTTGCCACGACAGCGTGAACAGACGGATGAGGAACCGGACGTATTTTCTGCTTCAGACGGCGTCGGCGCCCCCTGCTGGGTTTTAATGAAGTCAGCGTGGTGGGCCGTAGATCAGCCGCTGTGGCTCAGTGGGTCGGTGCCAGGACTGGACGTCTTTAAGGTTGAGCTTGTGCAGACAGTAAAGAGACGCATAAACAACGGGCGGGAAAAGGTCGGCCACACGCTGGGGGTGTGAGGGGGGGTGACTGTAGGTGGCCACTAGGGCGGCACCATTCATCGGATTTAAACAATGATGATTTTGGCTGCGGCGATTTCCACCAATAGGATCGCGGACATGTTGGCATTTTAAAAAAGTTCGGCTCTGCTTCGTACGAAATCGGGATTTCCCTCAAACTAATAGTCAAACAACCTCCAGGGGGCGACTGTAGACTGTACCTGTGAGTCCGCCTGTCCCTGTGAGTCTGACTGTACCTGAGTCTCACTGTACCTGTGAGTCTGACTGTTACTGTGTTTCTGACTGTACCTGAGTCTCACTGTACCTGTGAGTCTGACTGTTACTGTGTTTCTGACTGTACCTGAGTCTCACTGTACCTGTGAGTCTGACTGTTACTGTGTGTCTGACTGTACCTGTGAGTTTGACTGTACCTGTGATTCCGACTGTACCTGTGAGTCCGACTGTACCTCTGTGTGTCTGACTGTACCTGAGTCTCACTGTACCTGTGAGTCTGACTGTACCTGACTGTACCTGTGAGTCTGACTGTTACTGTGTTTACCTGTGAGTCCGACTGTACCTGTGAGTCTGACTGTACCTGAGTCTGACTGTACCTGTGAGTCCGACTGTACCCGTGAGTCCGACTGTACCTGTGAGTCCGACTGATACAAAACTCCCTAATTAGGAATGGAGCGTGAGCTGCGTCGTGCGTCTTGGTCAACCGTGAATAGATACGGACCAACGCTAACGCTAAAGCTAATGCTAAAGCTAACGCCACTCCACATAACACTAATCATCCCGATGTCATCATTTTGGCTGTTGAAGACGTTAGAGTCCAAAAAACACAGTCCCGCGTCCCGCGTGGACCAGTGTGGGTCTGGGCCGCGCCCCAGTTGGACCAGGAGCCCCGTGTTGAGAACCGCGGGCGTAAAGAATCATCGTCGGTGGGAGTCACGCGCGGGACTTTAACGAGGAGAACATCCGGGAGGCGAAAGAATGTTCGAA